GATCGCCACGGCAGCTGATAACCTGATGCGACGACGGATAAGATGAAACGACTCTTGCACCAAGAATTCCACCATGTGGAGCGATCACGCAAGCGTCCTCGCATGTGCTGCACGGTGGCGTGTGGCTCATCCATGTGGGGTATGAAGCCAAAATCTGGTGGGGCGTGGACAGGGAGGCGAGTAAGATCACAATAGTGAGTCAAGCGTGCCAATACGAAACGATGCCATCGTAACACACTATGCGATGGCACCGCGGTGCAAAAGAGTAGCCGAAGAATGAAGGCTCGCATGCCAAGCAATGCTTACTACGATAGTTTCTATCAAAATATCTCTTGATTAGATTCATGTTGTTGTTGTGTGTATATAAATATAGATATATATATATATATATGTATATATATTCCTTTCTTTCTTTTTTCGAACGGAGGGACCAATTGAGGTTCCAATAGATCAACCGAGTGTGTGAGGGGAACAGATTATAATATGTTTTTTTTCTTCTTCCCCACTCTTTCTCATCTCTTGACATGATCCAACAATCCCATTATGTTAAGATCTTTCTCTCTCTCTCTCTCTCTCTCTCTCTCTCTCTCTCTCTCTCTCTCTCTCTCTCTCTCTCTCTCTCTCTCTCTCTCTCTCTCTCTCTCTCTCTCTCTCTCTCTCTCTCTCTTTGAAGTAACATTTATCCCAAATAGTATTTCATGATAATGAATATAACAAGCATCCATTCTAAACAATCTTAGAAGGCTGGTTAGCCCCTTGGCCCCGCTGCGGGCAATCGGCTATGCCGTGGCCGGGCTCGCGGCAATAGAAGCAACGCCCATCGCCATCCCTACGCCAAGTCCAATGGCGTTCCCCTTGGCCTCGAATGCCACGATCAGCGGGATTGGGGCGGGTCGAGGTGGTGGGCCTGTGCGGCCTCTTTTTGTTGGCCGCCACGATCTGAGTGGCGGCCTTAACGTTTTTGTCCTCCACCACCTCTCCGTACTTAATCTTTAAAGCCATATTGGTTACTTCAAAGCCGCGCTGATCCGCAGTGAATAAAAAACGAATCTTTTCTTCAGCCTCATCAATGATTTGCTGAAGGTAATCAGCAAGTTGCTCGCCGCCTTGGGACGGTAGGATAGAAAAAGCATGGCGTGCAATTGCTTGAATGCGTTCGAAACTAAATAGTTGAGTGCGAATGCCGTCGCCTTTGACGAGAGATGAGCGCAATTGAGGACGTGCAGGAGGTATAGGAGCAAGATTAAGTGGTTCTGGGGCCTTAGGACGAGCGGGATTACCTTCGTCGAGGTTCTCGAAATTAGTGTGATCGCCGTCGTCGACGCCCTCGGGATCAAGAGGGGGAGGAGGAGCGCGGGAACGAGGTGCCGTTGGAGCTGCCGGGCGCACAGGATCAGCCGCTGCTGCAGGATCTCAGTGGTTGCCGCGTTGAAGCGCCGCGAGGAGGCCGATCGAGTGTCGAATTGCATCATTTTTATCCGCTGCCGCTCCAATCTTTATGTCGGTATATCGCGCCGAGTTATTCTCAGCTGCACGGCGTCCTGTAGAAGTGCTGGAACACACGGGCCGTTGCAAGAGGGGAGAAGCATGTAAGGTGAGCACAAATGCATTAACGAGCACCACGTGGAACCACATTGACATTAGAGACACTCGAATAATGAATGTGAAGTGGTGGAGGGGGAGATGAGTGACATACAAGGCGCGAATAACACACGTGCATGTGATCACACATAAAAAGTCAAACGTCTCACCTTGCTCCGTCATTTCAGCCCCAGTATCTGCAACTGCCGCAACCGTGTCCGATCGCCCAGCTACCTCCTGTGCCAACAGCAGTGATGCGTATGACGATGGGCGTGCCCCGTACACTGGGTGTGGGTCCCAGGCAAACATCCGAGCCACGTCCTCGAACACTACCGCATTGCTGTCAGCATTCGTATCTCCCTCCGACGGCACTGGGGGTGCGTCATCAAGTGTCTGAATCGCCTCTGCGAGACGATTTGTTGCAGTGCCTGTCCCAGCCATTCGCACAACCACCTGTCGCAACTCTGGATGCTTATAGGACGCCTCCGAAGGATCGATGCTCTTGAAAGCGATGGTGCCAAGACCGGAGCACACCGCCCTTATAAGCGCCTCCCTGGTGGACGAAACCGTCAGCCGCCCTTTCCTCCCCGTCTTTTCAAGCCATCCGAATAACGTTGTTTTCTTGATGTGCCACAGGTCCTCAATGGTCCGTGCCGCCTCTACAGTCATGTTGTCATCTTTACGAGCATCCACCAACTCTCGCAGCAATGCCTTGATAATTGTCCTGGCCATATGCCACACGTCCTGCTGATGCTCCAACCCCATGGAAGCCAGCACCGTCTTGAAACTAGTTCCCCCATCAGTTATCACACCGTCCACCTTGAACCCAAACACTGACAGTTCATGCATCGCTTGCTCGAAAGCCACCTTCTCCATTGCCGTTGAGGAAATACCGTGCCGATGCTTGTTGATTGTTACGGAGTGAAGTACCTTGCGTGTCTCCCTATCCATCAGCGATACTGTACACCATTCTCCCTCTCTCGCTTGTGACCACATTCCATCCGCGGTTCTCCATATTTTTGTGTCACCCCTCTTCTTGACTTCCTCTCTCGATTTCGCCATCGATAACTCACTCTGACGCACAATACTAGCCCAAAGACCATGCGGGCTCTTCATATATGAATAAAATGTTCCCGCCGCTGGGATCGGGATACCGAGGTTGCGTGACACGGACTCCAGAGTCTGGTACCCACAACCACTTATCACGTATGCTCCCATCACAGTACGAGTGAGCCACGGCATCTTTGGCCCTTTCTTTGATGCCTGACCCACATCCGCCTCACGATTACAATTCCACCAAACTTCAGTGCGCTTACACCTCAACCCAAATGCCCCCAAAGACCTCTTCCATGACTGTAAAAGCATCGTCCCTCCGCACGCTACACCAGCAGTGCACTGAAGAGAGAAGAGCAGCATCAACCTTACAAACCACACAGTGTCCAAGTAGCACATAGTACCCTTACTAATGTTAGTAAGGCTCGGAGAAGATGGCCAGCCTTGCGGGACACCGCATCCGAAACTCTGATGACGGGGATCGTCACTGTTGGGCGTTTGGGGTCCATGGACACATTGATGATTGCATGAAAATTTTGCTCCAAACAGCATGTTCGACAGCAACTCCAAAAAGCATGTGGAAAGATTAAAACGCATGTACGCCATTTGCAGTAACCATGCTCGTCCATCTCACTTTGCGAATGCACTCGTTGTTGGAGCTGATTCTTCCACCACGTTCGTCGCACCTCCCCTGTTTGTTGCCATGTGTCGATCCCTCACAACACCCATGCTGCCTGTCGCATGTTCTTGATCCTCACCGCCGCTCCCCTCGTTGTTTCCATCGATCTCTGTGACTGCCTCCTCCTGCAACCCCTCCTCAACATCATCGCTAGTGGTTCCGCCTGCCAAACCCTGCTGCGTCATGCCAGAGTAGGGCTCCCGCAGCGTGCCTGCGCGGGTTGTAACGCGTGGCAGATGTCGTGGGTACTTTGACCGCGCCCTTTGTTGAAATGTCCCGGGCACTGAACATGTGGGTTAGAACGTAGGGGCGGCATTTGGAAATGTGGTAGAACACACTGAGCCTGCTATGACTGTAATACAACTTACCCACAATTCCAATGCATCACTCATAAGGATATAGCATCTTACCGGAAGTTTTCAGCGACTGATAGGCTGTTCCACGTCTGGCCCCACCCCATCGAAACCCAGGCACCGGCTCAGCGTCATTCTGCTCCGCCGGCGTTGTGATAAAGCTGTACACCAAACCACTGATTGGTGTCGAGCGGAGGGAATAAAGCTCCCTCACTGTAGGAAATCTTTGGCCTTTCTTTCTTTACTCGCACCGATGACGCGTGTGCATCCACACCCGCCTTGAACGCAGACTTGACGCCGCATCCCCTCGCACCTTCACCAAGACGGGCATAAGACATTTAGAAAATTGGTAAACCAGATTGACAGGGATGAGCATGTGAACAACATGGTGGATTCAGGGTGAGGTTGTGATGCAAATCTGATTGAGGATTTGAAAGGGATGGGCATGCGGGCAACAGGATGGGATGGGGTGCGATGTGCATGTGTTTGAAGATTATGGAAAAAAAATGGGCAGCTAGGTAAATCAGATTGAGACGGACGTGCATCTGGGCAGCCGGATAGGAGTGGATGGGCTGGAAATACATTAGGATGGGGGCAAAGAGTATGGTTGATTAATTTGTCATACCTGCAGTAGAGGCTGCGTCAAGTAAACAGTCAACAAGAGCGGGGGCGGCTTCGATGAACAAGAATACCATATCACTATCCCGTGGCACGCATAATTTTTATGAGGCTTGCCAATCCGCAGCGTAGAATGGCCCATGGTGTGGTCAAGTGACAACTGAGAGTGAGTTTTCTTTTATCCGGCAACCTGTGCAATGCCTTGGATGTCTCAGTCACATTGGCTTCACCAGCCTGCACCAAGGCAGCACGACCGGTACCCTCGTCGCCACCATCCCTCTCTGTGCCGGACATGTGAGCTCCGTCTGGCAGAAGGGTGAGAAAGGGAATAACGATGCAGAAGGAGTGATCTGCTGGTGGCAAGTGACAGGCACGACAAAGTTGAGATAGTGACGACAGTCGAGGGTAGCGGAAGCGTTTGATTTCTCAGCGGGGTTTGTAGCAGCTGGGTGGGGGAGGGGAGAAGGGGGAGGGGAGAGTGGGGGGGGGAGGGGAGAGTGGGGGGGGGGGGGGTGGCAAGGTTGTGAGGAGGACAGCAGCTAGTAGGTGAACACCAGCATGCAACCCAAGTACACACGGGGTACACACATAAACGGGGACACTCACACTAGTACACACGAGCAGAGTGGTCAGAATCAAGCCCGTCAGGCAGCTTGATGTATAGACAGGCGCTGATGGAAAGAGAGAGGGAAGGCAAGGTGGGTATGGACAGTGGTTTAGGCAATTGGGAGGGACAGAGGGATGGGGGAATAGGGAGCTTCGCTGGGATGGGAAAATGGGGAGCGGGAGGGACAGAGGGCAGTGCAGTGGGAGGGACAGAGGGAAGGGGAAATGTGGAGAGACTGGATGGAGGGGGACTGGGAGGGGCAATGGGTTCGGAAACTAGGGACGAGCAGTGGGAAGGGGGAATATGTAGTGACAATGAAGTGGGGAAACGAGAGGGGACAGAGGGTAGGGGAAATGGGGATGGACAAACCGAAGGGGAATTAGGGAGAAACACTGTGAAAGGGAAATGAGGAGTGACAGAGGGATGAGAAAATTGCCAAGGGATAGGGGGTAGTGGAAATGAGGAGGGGCAAGGGGAAAAGGTAGTTTAAGGCAAGGTGCAGTGAGAGGGAAAGAGCGAAGGGGAAATGGGGAGAGACAGAGGGGTGGGGGAATCGGAGGGACAGAGGCATGAGGTTTGGGTTGATTGTAACGGGCATGACTGTTTGATTTATCTATCACACGCTTCGCTGTGCACTGCTGGCCGATAGAACAAGCTGCAGCGTTGTGCCTTGCCATCCGTTTGCATGTGTCGAGGTGGAGCGCCAACCCTAGATTTCCGTTCGAACATGAGTATGGGCAGCGCTATGCGTTGATTTTCACTCGAACAGCGAGAAGGCGCAGTGCTGTGAGAGGCAGGTGGGCTATTTGAAGCTTCTATAAGACGTGCGCGCAGGGCTAGGCTGGTGGTCTATAGACCGTGATGCCTCCCATGGCGTAAGGGGACAGAGCGGGAATATCCGTGGAAGGAGCAAGCAAGGGTGTGAAGGGGTCATCTGCAGGGCTAGTGGCTTGTGCCGATGTCGTGATATGTGCGTGAGAGGACTGCAATGCATGGGACTATTACAGGGTGAGAGTAGGGCCGAGGCAAGGAATGGGTCATGTGACGGGCAAAGGCTGGTGATGCGTGCTCGCACTGGTGGCTTGGGTGAGACACAATTGGCAAGAGGCGGAATGGCAGGGAAAGTGGGCAAGCGTGTGTGTTTGAGACGGCAATCTTCCATGAACCACGGTGTAGATCAACACCACTTTCATGCATGGGGAGGTCGTGTAGAGGACGGGTGATGCGGGAAGGTTGTTGATAGGACGAGTGATTTGGGAAGGTTGTGAAGAGGACGTGTAGGCTGTTTGAGGAGGGTAAGTGGGGGTGCATAGGTGAATACCAGGCACACTACACCAGTAGTCGTGGACACTCACACTAGTACACACGAGAGGCGTCGTCAGAATCAGGCCCGTCAGGTAGCTTGATGGCCAAGTCAGCGGGGACGCCGCAGGCGTGACTGGAAATGGGGACAGAGGGAAAGCAAATTGGGAAGGGACAAAGGGTTTGGCAAATTGGGGAGGGACAGAGGGAAGGCAAAATGGGGAGGGACGGTGGGAAGGCAAAATGGGGAGGGACGGTGGGAAGGCAAAATGGGGAGGGGAAGCTGTTGGGGGGGGGGATGGGGGGGGGAGAGGGGGGGGGGGGGGCAGTTTTGGCGATTCAGGCGGCGGTTGGTGGGCACCGCTGTGAGAAGCAAGTGGGCTGATTGGTGCTACTACTGGTACCCGTGCGCGCAGTGAGGGGCTATCGGAATATAGTCCGTATTGTCTGGGAGGGACGCAAGGGAACAGAGGAGGAATGTCAGATGAGGAAGCAAGCAAGGGGAGCGAAGGGGTCATATGCAGGGTGGGGTGGCTAAGCTGACGTCGCCGACCTTGATGCCCGACCCTTGGGCGGGTGATATGTGTGTGAGAGGGCTACGGAATGTGATGCCTGGGGCAATCATAGGGGGAGAGTAGGGCTGAGGCAGGGACAGGGTTCAGGCCAGGCCAAGGCTGGTGAGAGACACAACTGGACAGAAGGGGAATGGTAGAGTAAATGAGCAAGCATGGCTGTTCTAACAGAATTGGGAGGGACAGAGGGAAGTGGCAATGGGAGGGACAGAGGGAAGGGGAATCGTGGTAGGAAAGAGGGAGGGGGAAATGGGGAGGGATTGAGGAAAGGGGAATTGGGAAGGACAATGGGAAGGGGCAATGCGAGGGACAGAGGGAAGGGGAATTGTGGAAGGAGAGGGAAGGGTAAATGAGAGGGATAGTGGGAAGGGCATGGGGATGCCTGGGAGGGAAGGGAAATTGGGGAGGGACTTAGGGTAGGGGAAATGGGGAGGGACAGAGGGAAGGGATGGATGGAGTGTTGTGGAAAGGGAAATGAGGAGTGACAGAGAGAAGGCAGGAGGGGAGGGACAGAGGGGAGGGGAAATGAGGAAGGACAGAGCGAAGGGGAAATGAGGAAGGCCAGAGGGAAGGGGAATTGGGTTCAGAACAGAGGGAGGGAAAATGGGGAGGGACAGAGAAGGGGGAATTGGGAGGGCAGTGGGAAGGGGCAATAAGAGGGACAGAGGGAAGGGGAAAGTGGGAGGAGAGGGAAGGGGAAATGGGAGAGATAGTGGAAAGGGGCATGGGGAGGGACAGAGGGAAGGGGAAATGGCGAGGGGCAGAGGGAATGGGAAATGGCGAGGGACAGAGGGAAGGGGTAACGTGGAGTGAAAGGAGAGGGAAATGGGGAGTGACAGAGAGAAGGGATATGGGGAGGGACAAGGGGAAGGGGAAAGGAGGAAGGACAGATTGGGACGGACAGAGGGAAGTGGCGGGTCGAGGGAAAGGGGGGATGGGAAATGGGGAGGGACAGAGGGAAGGGGTAATGGGAGTGACAGAGGGAAGTGGCAATGGGAGGGACAGATGAGAGGGGAAATGTGGAGGGACAGAGGGGCGGAGAAATGGGATTGACGGAAGGAAGGGGAAATGGAAGGGACAGAGGGAAGAGGAAATGGGCAGGGACAGAGGGACGGGGAAATGGGGAGAGGCAGAGGGACGGGGAAATGGGAGGGACAGAGGGAAGGGGAATTGGGGAAGGACAGAGGGAGGGGAAGAGGGGAGGGACAGAGGGAAGGGGTAACATGGAGTGTATGGGAAGGGAAACAGGGAGTGACAGAGAGAAGGGGTAACGTGGAGGGATATAGGGGAGGGGAAATGGGAGTGACAGAGGGAAGGGGAAGTGGGGATGGACAGAGGGAAGGCAAAATGGGGAGGGACAGCGGTGTGTATGGTGCACAAGGGTGAGGAACTTAGGCACGGCAAAATGGGGAGGGACGAAGGGAAGGGAAAATGGGGAGGGACTGAGGGAAGGGGATATGGGGCGGGACGGTAGGAAGGGAAAATGGGGAGGGACGGAGGGAGGGCAATATGGGGAGGGACGGAGGAAAGAGATTTGAGGGGTGTCTTGGAAAAGGGAAACGGGGAGGGACGGAAGCATGGGGAAATGGGGAGTGACGCACGGAAGTGAATGGGGGAGGGTAAGAGGGATTGGGAATTGGGGAGTGAATGAGAAACGGGGAAATGGGGCGGGATTAAGGGAAGGGGAAACACAGCGGTGACTGTGTAAAGGGGAAATGGGGAGTGACTGGGAAACGGGGAAATGGGGAGGGTCGTAGTACAGGGGATATGAGGAGTGACAGGGATAAGAGGAACTTGGGAAGGACAGGGGGATGGGGATATGGGGGGTGTCAGAGGGATGCAGAAATGTGGAGGGAAGGGGAAATGTGGAGTCACTGGGAAAAGAGGAAATGGGGATGGACGGAGGGAAGAGGAAATGGGGAGTGGCTGGGAAATGGGGATATGGGGAGGGATTGAGGGAAGCGGAAGTAGGGATTGAATGTGTACACCCGAAATGGGTAGGGGCAACAGCAGCGGTAGCGGCAATTGGCAGTGAAGGGGAAAACGGGAAGTGGGGCAAGGCAGCACTGTGCCTTGCAATCCGTCTGGAAACGAGCAGGCATGGCGCAGTGCATTGCAGAAGAAGGCTGAACACGAGGAGGCACGGCGCAGAGCCTTACATTCCCTACGAAAATGAGCAGTCGGTACGGACAGTGCTCCGCAGTCCGTATGAAGACGAAGAGGCGAGGCACAGTGCCTTAGCCTCCATTTGAAAGCGAGCAGGCGAGGCACCGTGCCTTGCAATGGGTTTGAAAACGAGGAGGCGCGACGCAGTGCATTGCTCCCCGCCCCAAAACGAGCATGGGCGGCGCAGTGCATTTTTAGCCGTTCCAAAACGGACATGCGCGGCGCAGTGCATTGCAATTTGACTGAAAAGGAGCAGGCGTGGCGCAGCCAAAACGAGCATGAATGGCGCAGTGCGTTGCAATACGTCAATGAACGAGCATGCACGGTTCCGTGCGTTGCATACCTTCCGGAAAACGAGCATGCGCGGCGCAGCGCGTTGCAACGTGTACTCGCACGAGCATGCGCGGCGCAGCGCGTTGCAACGTGTACTCGCACGAGCATGCGCGGCGCAGCGCGTTGCAACGTGTACTCGCACGAGCATGCGCGGCGCAGCGCGTTGCAACGTGTACTCGCACGAGCATGCGCGGCGCAGCGCGTTGCAACGTGTACTCGCACGAGCATGCGCGGCGCAGCGCGTTGCAACGTGTACTCGCACGAGCATGCGCGGCGCAGCGCGTTGCAACGTGTACTCGCACGAGCATGCGCGGCGCAGCGCGTTGCAACGTGTACTCGCACGAGCATGCGCGGCGCAGCGCGTTGCAACGTGTACTCGCACGAGCATGCGCGGCGCAGCGCGTTGCAACGTGTACTCGCACGAGCATGCGCGGCGCAGCGCGTTGCAACGTGTACTCGCACGAGCATGCGCGGCGCAGCGCGTTGCAACGTGTACTCGCACGAGCATGCGCGGCGCAGCGCGTTGCAACGTGTACTCGCACGAGCATGCGCGGCGCAGCGCGTTGCAACGTGTACTCGCACGAGCATGCGCGGCGCAGCGCGTTGCAACGTGTACTCGCACGAGCATGCGCGGCGCAGCGCGTTGCAACGTGTACTCGCACGAGCATGCGCGGCGCAGCGCGTTGCAACGTGTACTCGCACGAGCATGCGCGGCGCAGCGCGTTGCAACGTGTACTCGCACGAGCATGCGCGGCGCAGCGCGTTGCAACGTGTACTCGCACGAGCATGCGCGGCGCAGCGCGTTGCAACGTGTACTCGCACGAGCATGCGCGGCGCAGCGCGTTGCAACGTGTACTCGCACGAGCATGCGCGGCGCAGCGCGTTGCAACGTGTACTCGCACGAGCATGCGCGGCGCAGCGCGTTGCAACGTGTACTCGCACGAGCATGCGCGGCGCAGCGCGTTGCAACGTGTACTCGCACGAGCATGCGCGGCGCAGCGCGTTGCAACGTGTACTCGCACGAGCATGCGCGGCGCAGCGCGTTGCAACGTGTACTCGCACGAGCATGCGCGGCGCAGCGCGTTGCAATGTGTACTCGCACGAGCATGCGCGGCGCAGCGCGTTGCAACGTGTACTCGCACGAGCATGCGCGGCGCAGCGCGTTGCAATGTGTACTCGCACGAGCATGCGCGGCGCAGCGCGTTGCAACGTGTACTCGCACGAGCATGCGCGGCGCAGCGCGTTGCAACGTGTACTCGCACGAGCATGCGCGGCGCAGCGCGTTGCAATGTGTACTCGCACGAGCATGCGCGGCGCAGCGCGTTGCAACGTGTACTCGCACGAGCATGCGCGGCGCAGCGCGTTGCAACGTGTACTCGCACGAGCATGCGCGGCGCAGCGCGTTGCAATGTGTACTCGCACGAGCATGCGCGGCGCAGCGCGTTGCAACGTGTACTCGCACGAGCATGCGCGGCGCAGCGCGTTGCAACGTGTACTCGCACGAGCATGCGCGGCGCAGCGCGTTGCAACGTGTACTCGCACGAGCATGCGCGGCGCAGCGCGTTGCAACGTGTACTCGCACGAGCATGCGCGGCGCAGCGCGTTGCAACGTGTACTCGCACGAGCATGCGCGGCGCAGCGCGTTGCAATGTGTACTCGCACGAGCATGCGCGGCGCAGCGCGTTGCAACGTGTACTCGCACGAGCATGCGCGGCGCAGCGCGTTGCAACGTGTACTCGCACGAGCATGCGCGGCGCAGCGCGTTGCAACGTGTACTCGCACGAGCATGCGCGGCGCAGCGCGTTGCAACGTGTACTCGCACGAGCATGCGCGGCGCAGCGCGTTGCAACGTGTACTCGCACGAGCATGCGCGGCGCAGCGCGTTGCAACGTGTACTCGCACGAGCATGCGCGGCGCAGCGCGTTGCAACGTGTACTCGCACGAGCATGCGCGGCGCAGCGCGTTGCAACGTGTACTCGCACGAGCATGCGCGGCGCAGCGCGTTGCAACGTGTACTCGCACGAGCATGCGCGGCGCAGCGCGTTGCAACGTGTACTCGCACGAGCATGCGCGGCGCAGCGCGTTGCAACGTGTACTCGCACGAGCATGCGCGGCGCAGCGCGTTGCAACGTGTACTCGCACGAGCATGCGCGGCGCAGCGCGTTGCAACGTGTACTCGCACGAGCATGCGCGGCGCAGCGCGTTGCAACGTGTACTCGCACGAGCATGCGCGGCGCAGCGCGTTGCAATGTGTACTCGCACGAGCATGCGCGGCGCAGCGCGTTGCAACGTGTACTCGCACGAGCATGCGCGGCGCAGCGCGTTGCAATGTGTACTCGCACGAGCATGCGCGGCGCAGCGCGTTGCAACGTGTACTCGCACGAGCATGCGCGGCGCAGCGCGTTGCAACGTGTACTCGCACGAGCATGCGCGGCGCAGCGCGTTGCAACGTGTACTCGCACGAGCATGCGCGGCGCAGCGCGTTGCAACGTGTACTCGCACGAGCATGCGCGGCGCAGCGCGTTGCAACGTGTACTCGCACGAGCATGCGCGGCGCAGCGCGTTGCAACGTGTACTCGCACGAGCATGCGCGGCGCAGCGCGTTGCAACGTGTACTCGCACGAGCATGCGCGGCGCAGCGCGTTGCAACGTGTACTCGCACGAGCATGCGCGGCGCAGCGCGTTGCAACGTGTACTCGCACGAGCATGCGCGGCGCAGCGCGTTGCAACGTGTACTCGCACGAGCATGCGCGGCGCAGCGCGTTGCAACGTGTACTCGCACGAGCATGCGCGGCGCAGCGCGTTGCAACGTGTACTCGCACGAGCATGCGCGGCGCAGCGCGTTGCAACGTGTACTCGCACGAGCATGCGCGGCGCAGCGCGTTGCAACGTGTACTCGCACGAGCATGCGCGGCGCAGCGCGTTGCAACGTGTACTCGCACGAGCATGCGCGGCGCAGCGCGTTGCAACGTGTACTCGCACGAGCATGCGCGGCGCAGCGCGTTGCAACGTGTACTCGCACGAGCATGCGCGGCGCAGCGCGTTGCAACGTGTACTCGCACGAGCATGCGCGGCGCAGCGCGTTGCAACGTGTACTCGCACGAGCATGCGCGGCGCAGCGCGTTGCAACGTGTACTCGCACGAGCATGCGCGGCGCAGCGCGTTGCAACGTGTACTCGCACGAGCATGCGCGGCGCAGCGCGTTGCAACGTGTACTCGCACGAGCATGCGCGGCGCAGCGCGTTGCAATGTGTACTCGCACGAGCATGCGCGGCGCAGCGCGTTGCAACGTGTACTCGCACGAGCATGCGCGGCGCAGCGCGTTGCAATGTGTACTCGCACGAGCATGCGCGGCGCAGCGCGTTGCAACGTGTACTCGCACGAGCATGCGCGGCGCAGCGCGTTGCAACGTGTACTCGCACGAGCATGCGCGGCGCAGCGCGTTGCAATGTGTACTCGCACGAGCATGCGCGGCGCAGCGCGTTGCAACGTGTACTCGCACGAGCATGCGCGGCGCAGCGCGTTGCAACGTGTACTCGCACGAGCATGCGCGGCGCAGCGCGTTGCAATGTGTACTCGCACGAGCATGCGCGGCGCAGCGCGTTGCAACGTGTACTCGCACGAGCATGCGCGGCGCAGCGCGTTGCAACGTGTACTCGCACGAGCATGCGCGGCGCAGCGCGTTGCAACGTGTACTCGCACGAGCATGCGCGGCGCAGCGCGTTGCAACGTGTACTCGCACGAGCATGCGCGGCGCAGCGCGTTGCAACGTGTACTCGCACGAGCATGCGCGGCGCAGCGCGTTGCAATGTGTACTCGCACGAGCATGCGCGGCGCAGCGCGTTGCAACGTGTACTCGCACGAGCATGCGCGGCGCAGCGCGTTGCAACGTGTACTCGCACGAGCATGCGCGGCGCAGCGCGTTGCAACGTGTACTCGCACGAGCATGCGCGGCGCAGCGCGTTGCAACGTGTACTCGCACGAGCATGCGCGGCGCAGCGCGTTGCAACGTGTACTCGCACGAGCATGCGCGGCGCAGCGCGTTGCAACGTGTACTCGCACGAGCATGCGCGGCGCAGCGCGTTGCAACGTGTACTCGCACGAGCATGCGCGGCGCAGCGCGTTGCAACGTGTACTCGCACGAGCATGCGCGGCGCAGCGCGTTGCAACGTGTACTCGCACGAGCATGCGCGGCGCAGCGCGTTGCAACGTGTACTCGCACGAGCATGCGCGGCGCAGCGCGTTGCAACGTGTACTCGCACGAGCATGCGCGGCGCAGCGCGTTGCAACGTGTACTCGCACGAGCATGCGCGGCGCAGCGCGTTGCAACGTGTACTCGCACGAGCATGCGCGGCGCAGCGCGTTGCAACGTGTACTCGCACGAGCATGCGCGGCGCAGCGCGTTGCAATGTGTACTCGCACGAGCATGCGCGGCGCAGCGCGTTGCAACGTGTACTCGCACGAGCATGCGCGGCGCAGCGCGTTGCAATGTGTACTCGCACGAGCATGCGCGGCGCAGCGCGTTGCAACGTGTACTCGCACGAGCATGCGCGGCGCAGCGCGTTGCAACGTGTACTCGCACGAGCATGCGCGGCGCAGCGCGTTGCAACGTGTACTCGCACGAGCATGCGCGGCGCAGCGCGTTGCAACGTGTACTCGCACGAGCATGCGCGGCGCAGCGCGTTGCAACGTGTACTCGCACGAGCATGCGCGGCGCAGCGCGTTGCAATGTGTACTCGCACGAGCATGCGCGGCGCAGCGCGTTGCAACGTGTACTCGCACGAGCATGCGCGGCGCAGCGCGTTGCAATGTGTACTCGCACGAGCATGCGCGGCGCAGCGCGTTGCAACGTGTACTCGCACGAGCATGCGCGGCGCAGCGCGTTGCAACGTGTACTCGCACGAGCATGCGCGGCGCAGCGCGTTGCAACGTGTACTCGCACGAGCATGCGCGGCGCAGCGCGTTGCAACGTGTACTCGCACGAGCATGCGCGGCGCAGCGCGTTGCAATGTGTACTCGCACGAGCATGCGCGGCGCAGCGCGTTGCAACGTGTACTCGCACGAGCAT